CAGTCAGACGCGGCGGGAACCATCCAGCAGGTGATCGTGGGCCAGGTGGGACACCAGCTGGTGCAGCAGATCCAGCTGCAGTCCCCCGCTCAGAGTCAGGGTCAGACGCAGAACCAGCAGCATCCACAACACATTCAGACCCTCCAGCTGGCGCCTGGACAAACCCTGCAGCCCATCCAGGCCTTCCAGAACCCGGCGCAGGTTCTTATCCGTGCTCCCACCCTGTCCTCCTCTGGGCAGATCACCTGGCAGACCCTCCAGCTGCCCGGCGGGGTCGCCTTGCAGGGTGGGCTGGGGGCGGCGGTGCCACAGCAGCTGACTCTGGCTCCGGTGGCCGGCGGGACGGCAGTAGGAAGCGGGGGACTGGTGTCCCTGAGTGGAGCCCCCCTGACGCTGAGCGCGGCCCAGATCAACCCGGGTTCAGGCGTCCAGACGGTCAGCATCGCTGGACTTGGCGCTGCGGGGGTTCAGGTGCAGGGTGTTCCTCTCACCATCACTGGTCTACAGGGTAAGATGTTATCAACTATGTATAATTCTCACATTTACAATTCAAAGCTGCAATACTTGAGCTCGTTTGTTTCAGCCAATTTGCATGTGATGTAACTAAAACCACTTTGGATCTAGTTCTGCTTCCTCTGTTTCTGTCCATAACAATGTGCTTATATTAAAAAAAAAAAAAACTATCCAATGTCTCAATCTCTCGTAGGTCAACCACAGAGTCAGGACGCGGTTAAAGTTCAGCCTTCTCCTGTGACGGTCACTGTCGGCAGCGTGGCCTCGGGTTCGTCAGTGAGTCCAGACCAGCTCGGCTCCGTTCAGAGTTCTTCGGACCAGGAGGGACCGCCCAGCAAGAGGCTACGACGCGTTGCCTGTTCCTGTCCAAACTGCAGGGACGGAGAGGGAAGGTACAGATTAGAGCAACGCACCACAACACGCAGGAGCTGGTTGGACTTTGTTGTTCATATATCGTCCAGCCTGTCTTAAGCTTCCACGATTCTGTTCTAATTATAGCAAAAAAACACTGATTTGTGAAATTTCTTTCTTTCTTGAAGACAATGTATATTAATACATCACCAAAATATACCAATTTGAGTTTTTTAAACACGTCTTTCCTCTACCACATAAATGTCAGGTATTATAAATATATTTGAATGACTTCTGGAAAATACTGGAATTTTCTTTAAAGGTCTTGCTGTACACTACAGTTAAACTGAATTCCCATCTGTCGTGTTTTTAGGAACAGCGGAGACCCGACCAAGAAAAAGCAGCACATCTGCCACATGGAGGGCTGCGGGAAGGTGTACGGCAAGACGTCTCACCTGAGGGCCCACCTGCGCTGGCACACCGGCGAGAGGCCGTTTGTCTGTAACTGGATCTTCTGTGGGAAGAGGTTCACCCGTAGCGACGAGCTGCAGAGACACCGGAGAACACACACGGGTAGGCCGAACACACAAACCTGGTCTGAAAGAAAGAGCTGCGGTCCGGTTGCATTTGCATCTCTGCACCCATTTCTTTTTGGAAAGCTAAAATCTAAAAGAGGTGGTAAATGTTTGGCAGAATAAACAGCAACGTCTAAAAGAAAAAAAATAATAAATTCAAGGTTGCTGGTTATCAGCTGTGATGTAATCTAATTTCCTTTCATCTGCTGTGCTAAAAGGAGAGAAGCGTTTCGAGTGTCCCGAGTGCTCCAAGCGCTTCATGCGCAGCGACCACCTATCAAAGCACATCAAGACTCACCAGAACAAGAAGGGCGGCGCCGCCGTCGCCATAATCACCACTGACGACATGGAGGAGGACCCCCCTGAAAGCCTGGCAGAATCCCCCCAGATAGTCGCTGTGGGAACCCTCACGCGGGACTCTGAACCCGCTACGCCCACCACCTCCAACCACCTGGAGGAAGAAGAGGAGGAAGAGTTTGAATAGACAAATCGAAGGAAAACTTCCTGATATTTTTTTTTTTGTTCTTGTTGATTTTCGGAGGCGTTTGCAGGGACTTTTGCATAATTTTAAAATTGTTTTCTTAAAAAAAGGAACTTAAAAGAGGATCATGTAATGGTCGTGAAGTGGACAAAAAAAAAAGATAAACAATACAATCTGAAGAAAGCTAACATATAATGAAATATTAGTTTGGCGTTTATGTAATAATCTATAACATTTCCATGTGCATTGAGGGGACAGAATGTAAGTAAGATGAGCACAAGACAGGGGGACCTGAGGAAAGTAAAACCATCCAACAGTGAGAGGCTTTTTCCTAGCAAGAATCCAACTCTATGCACAAAGATGTGTTTCTGTTTCTTACCTGTCTGACAGTGCTGAGGTCAATCATGGCACAGGGCGGTTGCAGAGCGGCAACAACTCAGGGGCAGTCTGGGACATTGTGTGTGTGTGATCCGTGCAAATGGGAGTGTGTGTGTTTGTGTTCCCGTTCTGCTCCAAAGATGATCTACCTATGGTGAGTGTCATTCGAGGTTCAGGTTCAGTCCTCAGATCAGATTCAGGTGTTGATTTGTTTGATTAGTCAACAAATTATTCTTAAAGAGGAAATTCTAAAAGAGAAGAAGAGTAGCTGGGGGGGGGAGAAAAGCACATATAAAAAAAAGATTTATAAATAATGCATTCCTTATCGAAGCGCAGTGGCCATTAGAATACAAATAAAAGGTTTCTATAGAAAGAAAAAAAACAATCTAGCTTTCTACAACTTTGTTTGTGTAGGGAAAGCAATACTTTTAACGACAATCCTTGTGAAACCATGTTTACAGTGTCAGGGCAAGTTTTTGTTGATGCGACGAGTCGGTTTGTTTCGAGAATCGGAAAGACAGTGCTGCCGCTTGAGCAAAGCCGAGAGCTCGCAGTCGTCGGAGCTGCATCATGGGTTTTTTTCACAGCCTGGCTGCGTAACGACGGTTTTCTCGGGCGCCAGCACCGACACTGATGCTACTTGGTGCTTCTTGTGCTTCGGTGAACCTCAGCACAAGCAGCTGAAGTAGCTAAGAGCTGCAGTTGAGTTAAGCTCTTTAGCTATGTGGATGTAATATTTTTTTGTTGATGTTGCTCTGTGTTAGTTCAGTGCGTACCTTCTTTAAATTAAAAAAAACAAACTTATTTTAAAGAATTTGAATTTTTTTTAAGGCCCCTTTTCAGGTGTGTGGACAGAGGACCCCGTTGTGTATGGCTAATTTATTATTTATCCTTTTGATTTGTAATATTTGCCTTTTGCTGGACTTGTATTTGTGTGCGTTGGTTCTAAGGTCGTGTACAGCATGTTTCAGTTCTTGCCGTAGTGCTGCTTTTCTCTTCTTTGGTCTGCTCTTTAATTAAATTTGTTTTTTTTTTCTTTGTGCCATAATGTGTTTTTGGAGAAAAAAAATAAAAAAGAAGAAGAAAGCAAAAAAAATTTAAATTGTCTAAAGCTAAAAAGATTGATACCAAACAAATTTAGATGTTTTTAAAATCTTTTTTGTGTGACAACTAACTTTTCTTTTCTATTTTGTAGTGACATCTCATTTGTAAAATCTTTTTCTAAAAGATGTTTGTTCGTCTCCATGACATTTGATAATGGGTTTTTGCCAGGTTAGCCTTAAAGGCTCCAGTTTATTGATATTTTTAAAACTGGTTTGTACAAATGTGTTATGTCAGCAAAACAAAAAGACTGAAAAAGAGATAACTTCAAGCAGAAAACATGCTATGCCTGCTTAACACTTGACAATAAAGTGAGTCTTACATTTCTTCAGATGCTTGTGTGTCTGTATAAACAAAGGTTGGGAAACCTGTAAGCACCATAAAGACTTATTAAAAAAAACATTTATTGCATAAATGCACACTGAAAGTTTTGAAAGGTGTCAAACTTAAGGCCTGGGGGCCAGATTAGGCCCACTAAAAACCTTTTACGTAGCCATGTATAGTACAGATGTACTTAAATAGAGCCTGTAAGATAAGTTGCTTGCTGGATTTTTTAAAAATCAATCCAAACTTTTTTTATCTATATACTGTCAAATTACATCAAAATGAAAAATGTCCAATATTATTTTATTGAGTCATCAAATGCAGGCAGCTTTTTATTAAAGTCTATCAGGAGTTTTATCAGTACCATCTGGCCCATCAATTCCATTGACTATGTTTGTGATTTTGATACGGTCCAAAATAAAAAGGGTGTGTGTGTCAGTCCTGGACTAGAACAACTCATGTAAATTCTCACTTTCATTTTCACTCTTCCAAAAAGGCCAGATCTGACACGTGGCTCTTTGCTGCTCCTCCAAGGTTACCATCAGCCACAACGGTAACCTTGGCTCAGCTGCTCTGATTTTTGTCCCCCTGTTAGTTTAAGTTTGGAGTTTTGCAAGACTTTTTTTTTTTTTTTCCCCAGAACTTTTCCAAAGCTTGAGATGTTGTATTACACAACCCTGGTTTAAACCTTTACACAGTATCCCTGACTTGTGTGATCTGTTCCTTGCTCTTGTTCACTAATGTCTTCCAACAAACACCTCATGTAAGTTCAGATTACATAATTTACACATTAAGCTGTGCATAGTAAGACTAACAGAATAAACCTTCATAGAGGCAAATAAAGTGATGAACAAAGACATCTGAAATGACGTATAAAACTGACGTTTCACACATTCACAACGCCAGGGATGCTCTTTACTTCCTGTAGTAAAGGTATTCTTAGCACAGATAAATTAATTTGATATTAAAATACACATGCCAGTTACAAATCTTATAGGTATGAGAGTAATGGGGTCCTAATGCAAGTGTTGGTCAAATAAAAACTTTATGTTCCACTTCGGCCCCAAATTACCCATACTTTTAGATTTTCTAATGGGACAGGCATATTTCAAAAGATACAATAAGATATAAACAAAAAAAATGTTTCAAATAAAAAGTAATTATGGCTGGGCCACGCTAAAACCTTAATAATATTTTCTGTCACAATAAACTACTTTAATAATAATGAATAATGCTGGCATTTTTATAGTAACAGAAAAATAATAAAGCCAGCACTGTTCTCTTTTTCACAAACTTTATTAAGATGTAAAAAATAAACCAGAGAGAACGGTATAAAGTGTTACAGAGCTATTTGAATCAAAGCTTCAGTTTTTGCTATAAAAAGGCGCACTAAAACATTTACGTAAAAGAAAAAAAAAATCTAGTAAAAATTTCACAATTTAAAGGTCTGACAACATCCCCGCAACACAAACACAAACCAGGATATATACATAAAAAATATCTATGAAACTGATTAAGGTGGCATAAAAAAAAAATCCCAACAATGTTGTTTTGTCACGTTGGATAAAAGGTCAAAAATGTGTTGGGAATTAAAATGTGCATTAAAATGTTTGTACAGTACGGTGCAGCACCGGAAGACGTTTAGTTTTCTGGATTTCACTGCAGCTCCTTCTGGATACTGCAACAGAAAAAAACAACAAAAAAACAACATAAATTTCCACTGTGTGGACGTTTCTCACTGAAACTAACAAAACTTAGTTTTTCCCCTCAAAGATCTGGATAAAAATTATGCAATAATTAGCTTATTTTTCCTCAGTGTTACAGCTCTACAGCCAGACAGTTGGTTCTTGAAAGTGCTCCGACTAACAATCAACAGTTAATATGAATAATCCATGTCATAATTTACCATCGTTTTACATATGTTAAAGTGAGTCTGGAAACTTTGTGTACTTCTCTCTGAAGCCCAGAAATGCATAAACAGCCACAAGAAATTATCTCTAATAGAACCTCCTCTTTATATGTTACATGTGCTTAAGACACACCAACAGATTTTCTTGTTTTATTCCTAAAACTTAAGTTTTAAGCTTTTTTTTGCGACATAGCTGCTTTGGTTTGATTCCGTCCCTTTAACATTCAACCGCACAGTGAAAACGAGGAAGCTCACCTCTCCAAATACTCGTGGACGTTGTCGTGGCCGTTGTAGCGTGCCAGGGCCACCAGGGTCCCCGTGGCGCAGCGGCCCTCCTTCTTACGACACAGACTGCAGTTACACACTCCCCGGCAGATGGGACATGACCACGTCTGACAGAAATAGAAAAAGGAAGTAGGGGGACAGTTATAGTCTCGACTTACTCTCTAGACTCTGTAGTACTGGAACTAGTTGTTTTATTCAACCAAATATTACTGGAGGCCAATCTGTATACACAACAAAAAAGGTGTATCCTGTGTGGTTCATTAGGGAACATCCATTATAGATTTAAATTTGAAGACACCATTCTGCTTATAAAATTTATTAAAAGTAATTTTTTTTGGTCATTTCATTTTAGTAGAAGTGCCTGCTACATGTGTAAACACTGACCGGGTCGAGCAGAACGGTGCGCACGTCCTCTCCATAGCGATTCTTCAGGCATGGTCCACAGAACTGACCTTTGACCCCCACACAGTAACCACTACGGCACACCGTCTTGGTGTCCAAAGTCTTCTGTCGGCACTGGTGGCATGAGCTTCCCTGAAAGGGGGGCGTGAAGAGAGCGACTCAGGCGCTCTGCTGATATCAGGGGAAAAAATGGAGGCCAAAGGTGAAGGACGTGAAGCGACTCACGTTGTCTTTGTCCCAGATCTTGTCTCTGCTGCGGTACGCCACGTTTTCCAGGTCCTCGTCCGTGATCTCGTCGACCGACTTCACCATGTACTGACTCTTCCTGGACTTGGGGCTTCGTTTCCTTCTCTTCCTCCCGTCAATACGTTCCTCATCCACCTGACCAGTGGGGAACACATCACAGGTTATGCTAAACCTTTGAACTTGTTCTTTTTCAATGATTCGAAATCTTTGGGAATTGGCTGAAAGAACATGTGAGTGGATCGTTTAACAGATTGCTTTTATTAGGAAACTAAAACTAAACTAAACCCTTTTGTACAAAGTGCATTCATTTGAATCCTGCTGCAAGAATATAGTCTGACAAGAACATGCTCCTATGTTCTGCAGTATTCTTTTCAAACTTTTGTTAAAGTGCACCTCCATCAGTCTCCAGATGTCCAGAGTCCTTGGTTTTCTAATGCAAGTTGGCTCAGGCTTTTCCTCCACCCCGAAGTTTTCCGGAGGACGAGCCTTACGAGACGGGTTCCTCCTCTCTGACCCTGCGTCGGACTTAAACTTGCGCTTCTGCGGCGATACCTTCTGCAATATCCTCTTCCTCTTCTGCAGAAAAACAGGGCAGATTTTTGTTTTGCTTCCTCTGGTTTCCTGATGATTTATTTATTCTTAAACGAGGACATGGTGAGAGGTCTTTAAAACCTAAGCTCCCAAGTTGGTCATTTCAAATGCACATTGCAACACTTACATTCCCCACACACACACCAATGAGTTTATCGATTGTTATAAAAATGCTGTAAGTATCTTGAATGAAATTTGACTTCACAATTCAACAACTTGAAACTGGCCTCTGTCTCTTTGAGAAACTCTTTGCGACACTCTGCCTTCAGCGCATCGTCACAACAATGCCTCCCCATTATGCCGTTAACCATTCATAGGCGCTTCAAGGATTTTTCAAACACGCATAAAAGAATCAAAGTAACAATTCAGCTAGGATTTTTATGAGGAAAATCAGTGTACTCACAACCTGTAAGAAAATAAAGACGTTTCCAAGCATTTTTGAAGGCCTCCATTCATTTTGACTTGTTTGTGTAACTTGTTTGCACTAAACGCTCACCTGAGGCGTGTCCAGCGGAGTCAGGTCAGTGAGGGAGGTCAGACCAGCAAACAGCTTCGCGAGCTGGAAAAGAAGAAGGAGAAAAAATATCACAGTAGAATGAATCAAGGATGAGTAACAAGTTAACTAGAAAAAATACAAAAACATTCCACTAAGACATTACCATGGCTTTGTTTTCCTGTATGTTGCGATCTCGTTTTATCAGACTTTGGCACAATTCCTCCTTCTTCTCCTTCACCACCTCCACATCTTCCTGTTCCTCCTCCTCCTCCTCCTCATCTTTCTCCTCCTTGTTGACCTTCCTCAGCCTTCCTCTCCCTCTCCGAGGCGGGTCACTCCCTCTGACATTTTTCTTATTCTGTATTTTCGGGGGAGCAGGTTCCTTCTTGCCCGGAAACCTAGAGAGCAATTTTTAAATTTCAGCTGAGCCTATCAGCACCCTCTGCATTTTCTTTCTAGCTCAATCCTGAATGTTTAGAAATCTACAAATCCTCACCTGAGCGCAACTAACAGACTCCTCCTCTTTGGCTCAGGTGGCTCCTCGCCGTCGGAGTAGAAGCCTGTGTCTTTGTCGCTGTCCCCTTCTGAGTCAACAACCTGAAGAAAAAGCAAAAGGAATTAAAAAAAAAATAATAATAATCAGGGCGTAAAGGATAAACTTTCACTTTGTGGTCAAAAGCTTTGATTGAGAATATCCTACTTTGGTCTTTTGCTGCTTTTGGAAGCATCCTCTGTCCTCTTCTGCCTCATCCTTGCTGAATCCTTCAAACTCCTCCTCGCTGTCTGATTGGCTGAACAGACGAGCCAGCTCAGCAGTTATATACTGGGATTTGAAAGTTGGAGCCTATTGGCAGACACATGAAAACAAATTACTGTGTTTCCATGGAAGGACAAGAAAAAAAAAGTACACAGCAGGTATTTATTTGTTCATTTCAAATGATAGTTAAGAGAAGTGAACTTTTATAGAACCATATTTAGGCTTGCCTTCTCAGGATTCTTCAGCTGTACACCAGAGGGAGACAAAGTCCACCTCTTAGCATGATGTGACACTAAATTAACTGTGCAGCTCTTAAAAGCAGAAGAATTCCCGCCAGGATTGACAGAGCTGGCCGTCACAGAATAAAACTTATCATTCGGACTTTGAACGAGCAGCGCCAGAGAAATCCTTATTGCTGCAGGTCGGCTGAGCCGCAGCTTGGCAGGCCAAGTCAGAGCAGTGACAAGATGAAGTGAAAAAGGAAAACCCTATATCTCATTCCCACCAGGTTTACTTCCCCATAGTAAGAATCACATATGTGCAACGGCTTCTTGCCATATAAATGGGTCATAACTCACCGATTCCTCCACTTCAGAATTCTTCAAGCTTTTCCATTTTACTCTAACGGGTAAACCAGCAACCACAAAGACCAGTGTTTTCATAATTTATGGCTCATTGTAAGGCCCTGCGAGGTTCAGTTAGGTAGTATTACACACACACACACTGCTATGTTTGTAATTAATAAAGATAGAGAAATAAGCTTTTTTATAAGGTAGTGCAACATTGAATTTGTACGTCATTCTTATGTATGTTTTTGTTTACATCTTGTCTGCATTATGGGACATTAAAGAATCTAGCTGGACCTCACTGCAAAATGAACGACTTTTTAGATGCAGTTGTTCACCTATAGGATGACATACTTATTGTAAGCAAACAAAACATAATCACTAATGTACAACTGCTCCTGATGACATGACATAGGGCACAGGGCAACTAACTTACATTTTTTTGAGTAGCCGTATTTGCATTTGTTTTTCCCTCTTGATTCAACTCTTTTATATAAATTTCATCCTTAATGAGTGATTCATTGTGTTCTGCACATTTAAACCATATCTGACTCCACGCACAGTGGCATTTTCTTAAGAGTAAGAGAATTGGCTGGAATAAAGAGATTTAACCATCAAATATTTTCAGCAATTATTTAGAACAAGTCTGGGTGATGTGGTTCTCTGAGTCCTAAAAAAACATTTTTGTGCAAAACCCCCAAGAATAAACGATCATCTGGTAAACACACTTCTAATGGATCAGTTGTTTACAAATCCCTAGTGTCTCTTGTGACGTCATCAATAACAACAGCAGGATAAGAAGATGCTTTGTTTGAGCTAACAGGTGAGAAATGTTAATATTCTGCGAAATGCTGCGGCATTGACATGCATGCAGCATTTTACTGCAGCTGCAAATCTGAGAGGGGGGAAAAAGACAGTTCCTTTAAAATGCATGTTTGAAGTTCGGAAAAAACCTTTAAACTCTAAACATAAGCACCTTCTTTGAGATTTGCAAAATACCCTTCTGTGCGTTTATCTAAAGCGCAGCTGGAAACAAACCACAGATTACTCGTTGACAGAAGTTAAAACTGACTGCTTGACAACCGCGATACCCGGGCCCGTTCACGGAGGAGTGGTTAGAAAAAAAAAACAACATATAACGGCCAAAGTTTCGGTAAAGAAAAGAAAAACCCAACAACACGGAGGTTCGGGTACTTACGTCTGACTTGAGGGTCATTTTGGGGGCTATCCCTTTAGCTTAAAGTTTTCTGGAGAGAAAGTTTAAGCTCATGAAATGAAATCAATGGTGGGAAAAAAGAGGTGGATTTAAAACCGACCCGCTCAAGAGCGTCACAGAAAATGGGGCTCGTGACGTCGACGCGCGCACGCGTGAAACGTGCTGTTTGCATTGGGACGTGACTAACATGCCCGCATATTTACAACATGACAGAGAACTCCAACAAATATATTACTAACTTTCGGACACATTGCAGATTCTCTGAGTCTGAAGAGGACGTCAGTCCACGGATTCCCCTCCTGAACTCAGAATGGTTCGGTCCGACTTCGCGCGGAAACAGCACGTGGGGGCGGCCAGGCTGCTCGGCCTCCACAACAACTCCCGACTCCTTCACTGCGACCGTGAACGCAACATCGTCTGTTTCTTGAGCCTTGTTTCCACAAAGCTGAATGCTGAGACAACGTCAAGTCCATTTCTGCATCACGTTTGAAGCATGTGAACGAAAGTCCTTTACAAAGAATTAACATCCATTTATTTAAAAAGAGACTTTTAAAAAACTGAGTAAAACTTAGTGGTGCATTTAAATGCATCGGATTTACAACCCTTTTCATGAAAGTTGTTTCATAAAAAGACAAGAAGTACAGCAATATCATCTTTGAGTCTGATGTTTTTGATTCTGAGATATTTCTATGTATTGCTGGAGTTTATCTGCAGGGATGAATGCTGAAGAGAGACAGGAGTCCACCTGGTTTCTTTTATATTCATCAGAAAGGGTGTCTATAGTGTTCTTGCTAAAGAGCTACTTTAATGTTTGCTTTGATTTTCAATAAAAAAACTACCCTTTAAAAGAAACTATCAGTTTCCTTTCCATGGACATATTATCTTATCATCTTTTTCAAAAGTCAGATGCAGCAGAGTTTGTCTTCAGACAGCATTACAGAGGAAGAAGAAAAGGTGAAAAGGATAAAACAAACAGTGATATTATAATTTTGGGAGTGTCGGGCACTGATCCTGCTCCCCTTTAAAACTTTGTAAGCAAAATCTGACACAGGAGTTGTGTTGATCATAAACTAATCAAGGCAAAGATGGTTCCAAGCAACAGTTCTAGATTGTAAAAACACTGGAACAATTCTCTTGTAGTCATTCAGAGGTAAAAGAAAAAAAGAAGAAATTAATTTATATAGAATAGTATTGTACTTAAATAACAACCAAGTTCTATAACACCTTGTTAAATAAAAAACATCTTCTGCCAATGGTTCATGAAGCCATGATGCGCCTTAACGCTGTTTTACTGAATGCTTTTGCTGCCCTCTAGTGGCTAGAAAACAGCACTAAATCAAATTTAGTTTACGGCTTAAAAATCCTGGCATTGCAAAAACGAGAAAAGAAAACTACGGAAGAGGATTAGGGCCACTGAAAAATATATAAAAAAATAAAAATTGCCCGAATTTTTTATTTTTTTTTTTTTTTTGTTTTGCAGTAGATCAAAAAAATAAAAAACTATCTCAGAATTCAGCATTCTGACTTTTTTCCCAGAAAAAATAAAAAAGTGTTTTTTTTCTGAGATACTGAAAAAAATTTCTGGCAATTTTTATTTTATTTTTTTTCAGTGGCCCTAATCCTCTTCTGTGGAAAACATATTGGGTAAATTTAGCTGTTTTAGTTAAAAAACTGAAAACAACAGATCATATTAGGGGCGAAGCAAAACCACTGTTCCAGGAGATTTAGACTTGTGCACAGCGTTAGTCTCTTTCAAATTATCCGTTTATTTGCTCTATTTGCACAGAAATAACTTAACATGTGTTAAACACGTTGAGAATTAAATGGTTTTTCTTTTGAAGCAAAGCTCATTGTGATCGTCTCTATGTATGTAGTAACTAGTGGACAGTAAGAGGTACTGTTGCAGTTATACTGTCACTTATGGTGAGAAGTAGAAAATGAAAGGCTAACATACATCTCTAGAATGTGTTTTTATTCCTCTCAAGCATTATTTTGGGAAGGGGGAAGAGGAGCGGTGTGCTGGCTTCATGTTGAAAGCTGAAGGACTTTAAGCCTAAATGGTTTAAAGTGTGAATGTGTGAATTTTCATCCAAGGCCAGGCGCAGGCTGGGTTGAAATCCAGCTCAAGAACTTGGCTTGAGGAAACGTTTTATTCAACAGCACAACAGACAAAAGTGGAGCTAAAATTTTAAAACAAAAGTACTTTATTTGCGGAATAAAATCACGTTTTATTCAACAACCAAAACAACAAGGATAAAAATCAATCAACAAAAGTTTATTAAACAAGCAGCTTATGAAAATCAAAGCAAATATTAGGGAACAAAAAACGTTCAAAGCTATGCAGGCCTGGTAGATCCAATCTTAAGAGGTTAATATAATCCTTAGGAAAATATAATGCCAACCTAATACTGCACATTTCACCTGCATCTGGGTGCACCTTTCCATTTTTTCCCCTTTACATTGAGGTTGAATCTAAAAAAAAATCAGCAAGAAATGTAATGCAATTAAGATTATTTTTCTTTTTAATTGTTTTGTGTTTAGGGACAAACTGTGCGAGCTGCACACACAAAAGCAAATCTATTTGAGCACACATGATCATTCCAGTAAAAACTGCTTCCAAAGTTGGTGTGTCCACAGTGTTCATTTCCACCAGCATTGTCTGGCTGTCTAGGATGCCAAATGGAAAATTTGTACTTAGACCCATCGGACCACATCCATCCTCCTTCCTTATGAATATCAGTGAGTCCAATCCAGGTCCATGACTGAGTGGGATCAAAGTTCTTGATCAGCAAATTGACAAAATTGTGTTCAGGTAGACTGTGGATGGAAACCAGGTTGGCTCCCTCTGACACACACTGGAGCTCTGCTTCTCCCCAGGTCACTCTTGAGCCAAAGTACTTGTAGCAGCGACCCTGAAAGCTGAACCAGAACAAGGGACAGCCGCCACGCAGCAGCTTCAGTTCCTGTCCATCTGAAGGAGGCTCAGCAGCCAGAGCCAGACCAACCAGGAAGAGGAACCACATCATCTTGGAGCTCGATGCGTCTGATGTGGAGGGATCTGAAGTTCTTGCTGGAGTTTTTCTGCAGTGATGGATGTTGGAGAGAATCCTGGAGAGGCAAAAGGCAGACTGCTTCCTTTTATAACACCAAGAGAGGGCGTCTGCAGTGTTGGAGTGTAATGATTGATCAATAGATCAGTTATTATTTGTAGGAAAATAACAATAAAAGTTGAACAGAGCTTAACAGCTTTTTGGACATCTTTTTAAAATTAAAAGTTTAACATATTCAGATTTATATATTACATTTTTTAGGGTGATATTTTAACAGGAAAATCTCAGAAGACAATGTTTTTTTAAATTAGAAGAATCTCAAAATCAAAATATTATACATTAAGCAATTAAACAAGAAAACTCCAAGTAGGAGCTCTTTAAATTTCTTTATTGGGTTGCAATGATTCAATACATTAGATCAAGTATACAACACAGTGACTTTAGTTTGGAAAATCATGGATAGTTTTTCCTCCTAATTATTGCTCAGTAAAAAAAAAAAAAAGTTATTATCATAATTTTGTATAAAACAAAAATATTCAGTAACATTAATTCTGTTTGGTTCTTTCTTAAAAATGAGTTAAGGAACAAATGCAGCTGTACTAGACAATTATTGCTCTCTTAACTTCCTTGTTCTTCCTGTAAATGTTGTGGATCTACCAGGAAACTATCTATTCTCTGAGCATGCAAAAGTTCAGTGATAAGAGTGAGTCAAATATTTTATACTCTTTAAAATAAACACTTTGTATTTGATCCTGAAAAATAAGATACCAATACCTAGAAACCAACAAGAAAGTCATGAATGAAGGTTTTTACATCCAGAGCCACTGATAATAAAAATCCCCCATAAAGACACAGCAGAAATTCAAACTTTAATTTCCTCAATATCTGGAAATTATGTTTCTCATTTTATTTTCTTATTCTGTGCAGCTGTTTATTACATTGCAAATCAAAGTCCAACCTTTCATCCTAGAAAATTAAACAATCTGAATAGTCTAATTATTCTGAATCCTCTTACTGAATTAAGCCCGAATTATAGTTTGCAACCAAAAATCATCAAACATCATCAAATGGTGATGCTGTCATTGCATCAAGACCCTCAAGAGGATTTGAGCAAAGTTGCATGTAGATGTTGCATCAACTCTGCTTTGACATCTGATGCTAACAATAGTTCTTAAACTAACTGCAGTTCAAATGGAGGATGAGTCTCAATGCACTTAGAAAATAAGACACAACATGCAGCTCAGTTTCTATAAGAAACTGTGACTGGATCATCTTGCTACGTTTGTGCATCAAGATGATCCAGGATGTGAGATTCATGTTTCAAGAAAAGAGTGATGGATGAAGGCTTGCATAAAGGTAATAACTAGTGGACACAGCATTTTATGCAACAGACTTTTGATCGTAACAAAAAACTCTTTTCTGATTTTATGCATAAAGCTCTTACACAACTTTAAAACGATTAGAGCATCTGAAGTCATAGACTGGAATGAGACGATTTTTCTGTTTCTAAGGCAAAATGTTTGATATGCACAAACAAGAGATTCTTTTAAGTGAGCATGAATGACAATTTCTGATTGAAAGGTGAAGTTTTTTATAACAGGGTGTGGAATGATCAAGGTTGTCATGAATGATCATTGGGAGAAGTTTAAGAAGAATAAGATTAGACATTAATCAGGTCCAACATCTTTATTGTTGTGTTTTCCATGTGATTACAGGTTTATTGCAGCATTAAAAAATATGTTCTGGATTCCTGTTCAGTAGAAACTGGGTCAGTGGAGTTGAAAATGAGGACAGCTGACAAACACAATAGATAAAATCTTAGATTATGTACTTTTATGCTTGTGGTAGAAAAACTGTTTCACTCCTTTCTCCTTATTGTCTTCCTCATCTCACTTTGGAAGTTCATTCCAACGTAAAATCAAAACGACAGCACAAGGTACTCATTTTTATCATTTGTGAAACAGACATGTGCTATCATAATCTCTTTCAACACATTTAGTTTTTTGAAATCTGAACATATTCTTCAAATTTCTTCAAAGCTTTATTGTTTCAGTTCATATTTCAAATTTCTTCAAAGCTTTATTGTTTCAGTTCATATTTCTGATAAGCACACATAAGGAATAGCAATATCAGAAAATTGGGCAAGCTTCACAAAAATAGGAATATTTATAAAGAATGAAAAGCAAAAGTCAAAAAATCATAAGACAAAAACTAATTACAGAAAAACTTTTGCATGTTTTATCCCTCGAGTTGAGTTTGATGTTTTCTGATCAATACATTCAAAACAACTGAGAGGATTCAGAATTATATTCTCTGTTAACCCTTGTGTTGTCTTGCAGGTCAAAAGTGACCAGTTACTAGTGATGTTACGTGACGTGCCGAGGCTTCGGAGCGTGTGTCGAGTAATGGAGGGGACGTTTCCATAAACCGCGTGTCGAAGCTTGCTTCATTTAGGGTAAGAGCTGAAAACGATGACCTCCGAAGCCTCGCTGCCCTGCTGGACCATGTGACTGCTTTGAGAAGTGGTTCAGATTTTGGCGCGGGGTTTGACAGCTTCATAAACCCCACAGCCTCCATTCAAATGTGGGTTGTTGTAGGCGAGTTGCGGTCAGTTGAGAGAGTGGATAGAGTTTTGATAGTTTGGATAGCAGAGTTTGGAGAGTGGTTATTTAGTTTGAGACAGTTAGTTTGTGTTTGGAGAGTTTAGGAGAGAGAGATAGATAGGAGATTTAGGAGTGTGTCTTTTCAAAGGCTGGAGAAGTAGTGTCAAAAAAGAGGAATCGTTTGAAACCAAAAACTGTGGAGAAATTGTTGATTAATAAAAATGCATGTAATCATCCAAGTTACACAAGCATTAGCCTATTCACTACCCCTCCCTAGTTCTGCAAGCACTTTCACTGTCCTCTGCCTGATGAAGCCCATGCCATTTTTCTAGTCACAGAAAAACATTAAACATGCCACGTCACATGACACTATACTATTTTGGAAAAAAATTACACACAGAATACATTCAAACAATATTTTATTATACACATATGTATATACATAATTTATGTAAACAAATAATTTCGTCCTACACCTTTTGTGACGTAATTCCCAAGAGCCATAATATACAAATATTCAACGCATCACACGTGTTAAGATACAGCTGGCTGTGATTATACACCTGGCCAGTAGGTGGTTTCGTGTGCACATGAAGTTTCAAGAAATGAACCCTTTCTCGAACCAGTTGTCTCAAGTGGTTCAATGCCTCATGAGGCTTCATCTCACCATCACTACCCTTTAGCTTAAAGTTTTCTGGAGAGAAAGTTTAAGCTCATGAAATGAAATCAATGGGGGGAAAAAAGAGGTGGATTTAAAACCGACCCGCTCAAGAGCGTCACAGAAAATGGGGCTCGTGACGTGGACGCGCGCACGCGTGAAACGTGCTGTTTGCACTGGGACGTGACTAACTTGCTCGCATATTTACAATGTAACAAACAAGTCCAAAAAATATATTACTAACTTTCGGACACATTGCAGATTCTCTGAGTCTGAAGAGGACGTCAGTCCACGGATTCCCCTCCTGAACTCAGAATGGTTCGGTCCGACTTCGCGCGGAAACAGCACGTGGGGGCGGCCAGGCTGCTCGGCCTCCACAACAACTCCCGACTCCTTCACTGCGACCGTGAACGCAACATCGTCTGTTTCTTGAGCCTTGTTTCCACAAAGCTGAATGCTGAGACAACGTCAAGTCCATTTCTGCATCACGTTTCAAGCATGTGAACGAAAGTCCTTCACAAAGAATTAACATTCATTTATTTAAAAATAGACTTTTAAAAAACTGAGTAAAACTTAGTGGTGCATTTAAATGCATCGGATTTACAACCCTTTTTATGAAGTTGTTTCATAAAAAAGAAGAACAGCAATATCATCTTTGAATCTGATTTTTTTGATTCTGAGATATTTCTATGTATTGCTGGAGTTTATCTGCAGGGATGAATGCTGAAGAGAGACAGGAGTCCACCTTGTTTCTTTTATATTCATCAGAAAGGGTGTCTATCTTGTTCTTGCTAAAGAGCTGCTTTAATGTTTGCTTTGATTTTCCATCAAAACTACCCTTTAAAAGAAACTATCAGTTTCCTTTCCATGGACGTATTATCTTATCATTGTGGTTGTGCACACAAACATCTTTTTCAAAAGTCAGATGCAGCAGATGGAGTTTGATGCAACAGATTGTGCATCAGATCACAGTTCACTTGTCTTCAGACAGCATTACAGAGGAAGAAGAAAAGGTGAAAAGGAAAAAACAAACATTGATATTATAATTTTGGGAGTGTCAGGCACTGATCCTGCTCCCCTTTAAAACTTTGTAAGCAAAATCTGACACAGGAGTTGTGTTGATCATAAACTAATCAAGGCAAAGATGGTTCCAAGCAACAGTTCTAGATTGTAAAACACACTGGAACAATTCTCTTTTAGTCATTCAGAGGTAAAAGAAAAAAAGAAGAAATTAATTTATAGAAAATAATATTGTACTTAAATAACAACCAAGTACTATTACACTTGTTAAAAAACATCTTCTGCCAATGGTTCATGAAGCCATGATGCGCCTTAACGCTGTTTTACTGAATGCTTTTGCTGCCCTCTTGTGGCTAGAAAACAGCACTAAATCAAATTTAGTTTACGGCTTAAAAATCCTGGCATTGCAAAAAGGAGGAAAGAAAACTACGGAAGAGGATTAGGGCCACTGAAAAAAATATTAAAAAATAAGACTTGCCAGAATTAAAATTTTTTTTGCAGTAGATCAAAAAAAATAACAATCTCAGAATTCAGCATTCTGACTTTTTTCCCCCAGAAAAAATAAAAAAAGTTGTTTTTTTCTGAGCTACTGAAAAAAATTTCTGGCAATTTTTATTTTATTCTTTTTCAGTGGCCCTAATCCTCTTCTGTGGAAAACATATTGGGTAAATTTAGCTGTTTTAGTTAAAAAACTGAAAACAACAGCTCATATTCGGAGCGATGCAAAACCACTGTTCCAGGAGATTTAGACTTGTGCACAGCGTTAGTCTCTTTCAAATTATGCATTTATTTGCTCTATTTGCACAGAGATAACTTAACCTGTGTTAAACACGTTAGTTTGTATTAATTATGTGACAGAATTAAATGGTTTTTCTTTTGAAGCAAAGCTCATTGTGATCGTCTCTATGTATGTAGTAACTAGTGGACAGTAAGAGGTACTGTTGCAGTTATACTGTCACTTATGGTGAGAAGTAGAAAATGAAAAGCTGACATACATCTCCAGAATGTGTTTTTATTCCTCTCAAGCATTATTTTGGGAAGGGGGAAGAGGAGCAGTGTGCTGGCTTCATGTTGAAAGCTGAAGGACTTTAAGCCTAAATGGTTTAAAGTGTGAATGTGTGAATTTTCATCCAAGGCCAGGCGCAGGCTGGGTTGAAATCCAGCTCAAGAACTTGGCTTGAGGAAACGTTTTATTCAACAGCACAACAGACAAAAGTGGAGCTAAAATTTTAAAACAAAAGTACTTTATTTGCGGAATAAAATCACATTTAATTCAACAACCAAAACAACTTTATGTATTTAATATCAAAAATAAAAATCAATCAACAAAAGTTTATTGAACAAACAGCTTATGAAAATCAAAGCAAATATTAGGGAACAAAAAACGTTCAAAGCTATGCAGGCCTGGTAGATCCAATCTGAAGAGGTTGATATAATCCTTAGGAAAATGTAATTCCAACCTAATACTCCACACTTTGCCTGTATCTGGGGCTTTTTTGTGATTTCTGTTCAATTGTCATAATTCTTGTTCTCTTTTTATTTCCTTCTCCAGTCCCTTTGCATTCTTCTCCATTCACTCCTATTAAGACCGACTGGCATTATCTTGTCCCTCTTTTATCTCTACAACCTTCTCTGTTACTTAACAATAAATAAAAAAAACTCTACAGAACTTTTGCAAAGAATTCATAGTGTTAGAAGAGAAACACAATATGCAAATCTACTTCCTCACACAGAAAGTGAATTACTGACAGTTTGCACTTTTCTTAAGCTTTAAATGAAAGCCTTTTTCTACTGACACGGTGAAATATCCTATTTTCTTTTAATTTCTAAACAAATCCTGTTTAGAAAATGAAGTCTTGAAATTCTACACTGAGAAAAATAAAAATCACAAATACTGTGTATGAAGCTCTTACAAATACTTGCTCAAATTAGAGCATCAAACAGACAGGAATGAGACAGTTTTTTTTTAGGCTAACAGCAATTTATACGAGATGCACAAACAAGAGCTTTTTTGTGTGAGCAAAAATGATCATTCCAGTACTTGTCCCGAACAAAGTTGGTGTGACCACAATGTCCCTGTCCTCCATCATTGCTAGGCTCACCAGGATGCCAAAGGGAAAAATCATATTTGGATCCGTCGGACCACATCCACGTTCCTTCCTTATGAATATCAGTGAGTCCAATCCAGGTGAAATCTTGAGTAGGATCAAAGTTCTTGATCAAGTTATTAACAAAATTGTGTTCCTCCAGACTGTGAATGGACACTAAGTTGCCTCCCTCTGTTAAACAGTGGACCTCTGCTTCACCCCAGGTCATGCGTGAAGCAACATACTTGTAGCAGCGGCCTTTGAAGCTGTACCAGAACATTGGACAGCCGCCACGCAGCAGCTTCAGTTCCTGTCCATCTGAAGGAGGCTCAGCAGCCAGAGCCAGACCAACCAGGAAGAGGAACCACATCATCTTGGAGCTCGATGCCTCTGATGTGGATTGATCTGAAGTTCTTGATGGAGTTTTTCTGCAGTGATGGATGTTGGAGAGAATCCTGGAGAGGCAAAAGGCAGACTGCTTCCTTTTATAACACGAAGAAAGGGCGTCTGCAGTGTTGGAGTGTAATGATTGATCAATATATCAGTTATTATTTGTAGGAAACTAACAATAAAAGTTGAACAGAGCTTAACAGCTTTTTGGACACCCTTTTAAAATTAAAAGTTTAACGTGTTCAGATTTATATATTACATATTTCAGGGTAAAATTTTAACAGGATAATATCAAAATACAATGTTGTTGTTTTTTTTTTAAATGAAAAGACTCAAAATATTATACATTAAACAATTAAACAAGAAAACTCCAAGTAGTCTTTAAATTTCTTTATCGGGTTGTAATGATTCAAAACATTAGATCAAGTATACAACACAGTGACTTTAGTTTGGAAAATCATGGATAGTTTTCCCTCCTAATTATTGCTCAGTAAAAAAAAAAAAAGGTATTATCACAATTTTGTATAAAACATAATATTCAGTAACATTAATTCTGTTTGGTTCTTTCTTAAAAATGAGTTAAGGAACAAATGCAGGTGTACTAGACAATTATTGATCTCTTAACTTCCTTGTTCTTCCTGTAAATGTTGTGGATCTACCAGGAAACTATCTATTCTCTGAGCATGCAAAAGGTCAGTGATAAGAGTGAGTCAAATATTTTATACTCTTTAAAATAAACACTTTGTATTTGATCCTGAAAAATAAGATACCAACACCTAGAAACCAGCAAGAAAGTCATGAATGAAGGTTTTTACATCCAGAGCCAATGATAATAAAAATCCCCTATAAAGACACAGCAGAAATTCAAACTTTAATTTCCTCAATATCTGGAAATTATGTTTCTCATTTTATTTTCTTATTTTTTGCAGCTGTTTATTACATTGCAAATCAAAGTCCAACCTTTCATCCTAGAAAATTAAACTATCTGAATAGTCTAATTATTCTGAATCCTAATTGAATTATGCCCTAATTATAAAGTTTGGAACCAAAAATCATCAAACATCATCAGATGGTGATGCTGTCATTGCACTCTGACCTCAAGACCCTCAAGAGGATTTGTGCAAAGTTGCATGTAGATGTTGCATCAACTCTGCTTTGACATCTGATGCTAACAATAGTTCTTAAACTAACTGCAGTTCAAATGGAGGATGAGCCTCAATGCACTTAGAAAATAAGACACAACATGCAGCTCAGTTTCTGTAACAAACTGTGACTGGATCATCTTGCTACGTTTGTGCAGCAAGATGATCCAGGATGTGAGACTCATGTTTCAAGAAAAGAGTGATGGATGAAGGCTTGCATAAATGTAATAACCAGTGGACACAGCATTTTATGCAACAGACTTTTGATCGTAACAAAAAAATCTTTCATGATTTTATGCATAAAGCTCTTACACAACTTTAAAACTATTAGCATCTGAAGTCATAGACTGGAATGAGACGATTCTTCTGTTTCTAAGGCAAAATGTTTGAGATGCACAAACAAGAGATTCTTTTAAGTGAGCATGAATGACAATTTCTGATTGAAAGGTGAAGTTTTTTATAACAGGGTGTGGAGGAAATACACTTCAAGGTTGTCGTGAATGATCATTGGGAGAAGTTTAAGAGGAATAAGATTAGACATGAATCAGTTCCAACATCTTTATTGTTGTGTTGTCCATGTGATTACAGGTTTATTGCAGCATTAAAAAATATGTTCCGGAATCCTGTTGAATAGAAACTGGGTCAGTGGAGTTGAAAATGAGGACAGCTGACAAACACAATAGATAAAATCTTAGATTATGTACTTTTATGCTTGTGGTAGAAAAACTGTTTCACTCCTTTCTCCTTCACCAAACAATCAGATCAACCACAGCAGCTGCTTCTGCTTGCTAATCACAGCAGGAGGCTGACTGTCAAGGAGGAGGGTCAAAGCAAAACAAACAAACAAATAAGTAAATAAACAACAATAGGTCTACCATTCATATAATATTCGAACTGTGATAATGATAATTTAGCAAAAAATAAATAAATCTAATTTATAGGCTCCACCAGTATGTGTATTTCAGTGATAAATAGAATTATAAGTAAAATGCAGTTGATCAAAAAGATGTTATTCGCTGCTCTTCTTAATATCACAGTCGGCTTGTGCGGTGTGTCAATCAGTGTATGAAACTGGGTTTCAGTTCTTGTGCCCTGATTTGGTTTTGTTTTTATTGATCTCTACGATCCTATGACATCGACACGCGAACAAATCAAAATAGCTCTTTCATTTGACTCAGATTCCTTTAATGCACAGAAAAAAATCTTAGTGTTAATAGTTCAATTGCAAAGTTCTCAGTGTCACATTGTCATTGTTTTGCATTCAACCAAACACTCCAGAATATTGTCTTCCTCATCTAACTTTGGAAGTTCATTCCAACGTAAAATCAAAACGGCAACACAAGCTACTAATTTTTATCATTTGTGAAACAGACGTGCTATTACAATCTCTTTCAACACATTTAGTTTTTTGAAATGTGAACATATTCTTCAAATTTCAAATTTCTTCAAAGCTTTATTGTTTCAATTCATGTTTCTGATAAGCACACATAAGGAATAGCAATATCAGAAAATTGGGCAAGCTTCACAAAAAAAGGAATATTTATAAAGAATGAAAAGCAAAAGTCAAAAAATCATAAGACAAAAACTAATTACAGAAAAACTTGCATGTTTTATCCCTCGAGTTGAGTTTGATGTTTTCTGATCAATACATTCAAAACAACTGAGAGGATTCAGAATTACATTCTCTGCAAACTGGACGAGCTTTACAAACAAAAGCCAGAGAGAGACCAAATAATAAGAACAGCAATATCATCTTGGAGTCTGATGTTTTTGATTCTGAGAAATTTCAGTGTTTTGCTGGAGTTTATTTGCAGGGATAAATGCTGAAGAGAGTTCTGGATAGACAGAAGTATATCTTTTCTCTTTTATATTCATCAGAAAGGAGATCTGTTGTATTCCTGCTAACAAGCTGCAATAAAGTTTGTTTTAAATTCCCATTAAAGTTCCCTGATAGAAACTCTTTATCTGTTTCCTTCCCTGGAAGTTGTATTATCATCATGTGCAAATATGACTGAGGCCATAGATACCAGCTGGGGGTTGTCTTTATTATTTTCTCTGATAACTCAGAACAAGTTTGATTACTAAAGAAATAAATCATATATACGGAGCTCCAGATCCAGACATAATTAAAACTTTGGAAGCAACATCTGACTGTGTTGATCATAAACTAATAAAGATAAAGTTGGTTCCACGCAACTGTTCTAAATTGTAACTCATTCATAATTTGAATAATAATTACCTATAGTCAATATAAATATGTTTAGAATGGATTTTGTGATCTGTTCTCAGAATAACCTCTTTCATGACCTTCATCCTTTTGTGTTAGATTTACTTAATAAATGAAAATAAGATTTCTGTTTGATTTTGCAGAATGTTTGGAGCAAATTTTCCTTCCCAGGTATTTTGACAGTGAAAGAAACTAGTCACCTTGCATTTGTACACATTCATTAATTGAAAGAAAAATTACCTGAGAACATGCAGCTCTAAATCATAAAAAAAATATGTTCTGCACAGTCCAGCAGAAGTAATTTTCCAACTGAAAGCAATATCTTAATTCTGCCCCGTGTTTACAGATTGCAATTTAGGTCAGTTAGTAAAAATGAAGCCTAGGCGTAAATTCAAGCTGGAAGACTCTTTAGCTCCACCCGCAGCTTTCAGTAGGTGCATCCCGCTAATCACCGACGACCAATCATCACGGACCAAGCAACGTCATGGCCAATCACTGACGACCTATCATTTTAATGGCCAGGTTTTACGCCCAACATAACATTTCCAGGTTGAACTTTTCCAAAACAAAATGTTTCTCCTAAGAGAGCCACCACAAGGGGGCAGCACTGACACACCTGGACAGAAGACACTGCAAAGTTTTGAACTGTTTCCACAGTTCAGAACCTGAGAAGAATATAGTTGAGAGGAAAGCATATAAGATTTTTAAGCTTTTCTCTCAAACCCTTAGTTTCAGCAAAATTGTTTTGGCTAAAACAGCACAGATGTTGTCTATAATTCACATAACTTTACTTACAGTAGATAAGACAGGAAGTGGACAGAGAGAAAAGGAGGGAAGACAATGGTCAGACAATTGTTGCTCAGTCATAATTTCTTTATTCTGATCCTGTAAATGTTGATTTGTCTGGTTGATTTACCAGGCAACTTTATCTGTTCTGGTTTTAATGAGGATGAAAACGTTTAAAGGGATAAAGTTTCGCCACATCAGACATGATAATTATGATTTTGTGGTTTTTTTGCAGCCTGTGAAACGCACAGCTTTATCCACTGGGAGCATGTTGACCGGGGAACAGTGGGGTTGAAGGTCAGCCTGGGAGCTTGATTGATCAGTTCTGTTGTTTTGATCTCATTGGACAACAAATAACTTTATTTGCTGAATAAGATCAATCAGTTCAACAATTGAAACAATACATACTTTGTGTATGTATTTAATGAAAAAATTAAAATGACAAATCTGTCGACAAAGGTTTATTAAACAAGTACTTTATATAAAAAAAATCTTAGAAAATATTATAGACAACAAATAACATCCTCCAATGCTATGATGGCCTATTGGGTGTTTTAATCATAAGAGCTTAATATTAAAATGTTAATATTAAGAGGTTAATAGTAAGAGATTAATATAATCCAAAGGAAAGATGTAACCCAACCCTGTACACTCTACCTTCCCAGGTACCTGGGATTTTGTTTTGTTTTTTCTGCTCCATCCTCGTGATCCTTGTTCTTCTCTTCTGTATCCTTCTCCAGTTCCACAGAAATCGTCTCTTCCTCATTCTCTTCACTCTGACTGGTATCATCCTGTTCCTCTTTTACAACTCACCCACCTTGTCTGTCCCTTAACAACACCAAGGATAAACTTTATAGCACTATTGCACAGAATGAATGATGTTAGAACAGAAATACAACATAAAACTCAGCTTAGGAAGAGCACTGAACACACAGGAAATGGATAACTGACTATATTTGTATTTCTTTTGACTTTATTAGCTGAATAAGAAGTAAATGTTTATATTCACAAATTTTTAATAAGAAAAGACAACTTTATAATCTCTATATTCAGATCTTATCAACATTAATTGTGACACCCTTTCCTCTAAAATGTTAATCAGATGTTAAGAAAATCATGTTAAACCGATGAAACATGTCATGTCATCTCTATTATGGTCTTCTGAATATGATTCACTTTAGAAAAAGATGAAAATAGTGAACCTTTGAATAGTGAGACATTGACACATATTTAAAAATAATCATTTTATTTTACAATAGATTTTACAAATTAAACTGTTTTCTTACAAAGTGAAAAATCTTTTTCAGCCCAACTTTTTAACTTTTGTTTACAAAATCAAACCTTTCACAAAGCTCTTACAAAAATCTCACAAAGTTAGAGGATATTAAGACTTGTGTTGCTCATGGCAGCCAGGTTTTATAATCTTAAAATTATATTGTTAGCTATTGCCAATATAGGCGAGCTTTGCAAACAAAGGAATATTTAGCTCCACACAATGTATCGTTCCATTTCTTGTTCTGCCTCCAGTTGGTGTGCACACACGGTTCAGATTGTCTGCTGTCATTTGGTTCTCCTGTTTTCCAAAAGGTAAAATCGAATCTGGACCCGTCAGACCAGAAATATCTTCCATCCTTATGAATGTCAGACAGTCCGATCCAGTTGGGCCTCTGAGTGGGATCAAAGTTTCTGATCAGCATTTTGACAAAGTTCTCTTCTTCCAGGCTGTGGATGGACACCAGGTTGGCTCCTTGGTTCACACAGTGCTGCTCTGCATCAGCCCAGGTCATCGGGGTGGCGACGAACTTGTAGCAGCGCCCATTGAAGCCGAACCAGGATGGGAAACAGCTGCCCCACTCCTGTCTGTCTGACGGAACCACAGCAGCCTGAGAGAGACCAAACAAAAAGAACAGCAATATCATCTTGGAGCCTGATGGTTTTGAGTCTGAGAGACTTCAGAGTTTTGCTGGAGTTTCTCTGCAGGGTTGAATGCTGGAGAGAGTTCTGGAGAGACAGGAGTTCACCTGGTTCCTTTTATATTCCTCAGAAAGGGCATCTATCATATTCCTGTTAACCCTTGTGTTGTCTTGCAGGTCAAAAGTGACCAATTACCTTGTTTAGCTGTAGAATAAATACCCTAAACAAAAGTACTGATCATACTCGATGTGCTAATTACAGACGTACAATTTATATTTGTTTTAATATAAAATAACTTAACTAACCAGTAATGTAAATATTTTAATCTTTGTTGATGAATGTAGTTTGATGGATTTAAACTTAAATGACTTAAGATGGTAATTAAACCTGTGAAACATGTCATCTCACCTCTGGTTCTTTGTGTCTGGGCAGAATATGTTTAAAACTTAAAACTTGTTGAAAGCCCAATAAATTTTCCAGATGTTGTCCAATTTGGAATATGAACATAAAGTTTCTGCCTGTTGCCCCTCACAATTGTATTTAGGATCTAACTAGACAAATACAGACTAATCCATTCTAATACCAGTTCTGAAAAGTATTTGCTTTGACTACAACATAAAGTATTTGAATGTTGCTACTTTAGAAAGGATTTCTTTGAGAGGCTTCAGATGGTTTTCTTTCAAATCCCTCAGAAAGGCTGCATGTAAAGTTGGTGCAATGTGAAGCTAATGACTAATGACAGCAATATATCTGAAAATATGTTTAAAAGTGGCACTTTTCTAAAAAGTCTGCATGAAGTATCCAATATTTTCTGCATTTGAAAGATTTCAGTTGTCGAAATATTATGATAATGTCAGCATGGTCATATATACCCATATTTTAATGCAACTAATTTCTGTACCTTCCGCATTAATTGCTAATTTTTATTTGCAAACTACAGAAACTGTTTTAACAAGAAAATTAATAGCATAAAATGAAAATATTGAAAATAAATGCAACTGAAGTTCTGTTGGAATTATTCATAATAAAGTTTGAAATCAAAAATCAACAAACAAACATCCTGAAATGGCGATGCTGTCATTGATTGCTGCTCCTCAAGACCCCCAAGAGGATTTGAGCAAAGTTGCATGTAAATGTTGCATCAATTGTCTCTCAAATCTCTCACATGTTTGGACATCTGATATTTACTCAATCAAACAATAGTTCTTAAACTAAATGCAGTTCACACAGAGGATGAGCCTCAATGCACTTAGAAAAGAAAACAACATGCAGCTCAGTTTCTGTAAGAGAAACCAAAAAGTATTGATGGGATCTAACAATGATCAACAAAGCACAGAGATTTTGTTTTGTCTTGATTCCAGTATTTTAGTCGTCTCACCATTATAATCTTTAGGAGTTCACTGAAACCACCCAGATCCTTCACTGATTTAGAAATAATATCATCTTGAAAGTCCTTCTTTTCTCAAACATTAATAAACTGGATACTGAAACTGATCCAGGATGTGAGAGACGATCATTACAGGAAATGTGACTGATGAAGGCTTGCATAAATATAATAACCAGTGGACAAAACATTCTTGCAAAACAGATTTTGATCTTAACGACCCTATTCCAGGTGAAATAACAACCTTTAAAGGTAAAAAGTAAAGATAATTTTATTCTCAGCAACAAGAAAATAGAAAATTCTTTTGCAGGATTTTAAAGGAAATACAAACAAAATAACAAACCAAAGGAAAGAGCAAAAGAAGAAAAAGGATATCTAAAGTATGTAAACTAGATGTTCCTGTTCAGAGTTTCTAGATAACATCTTCTGGTCTTATTTCATTTCTGGGTTGGAAGAAAAGGAGTCTAAAATTTAATCTAATAATGTTGATCCAAAGTATATAAACTAGATAAACTATGTGATTCTTTTATTAATTGATAGATAAGCATAAGTAAGTATTCTCTGGTCTAATTCCTTTTCTGGGTTGGAACAAAGCGTTATGTCTGTATTTTATCATTTAGAAATTATGAAAATCAAATGTTTGAATAATATCAGTAAGAAATGGGTATCTGATCATTTTCAAAACTCCTAATATTCTGTTTCTATATATTACAGTTTTACCGCTGATGAAACAAAAATCTGCGATCTTGCAGGTTCTACATATATTACAGACTGAACTGTAATATACACCATCTGTCTAGAGAATAATCATCTCTAGAGAAACTTAAAGCATCAATATTAGGAAAACATTTGTTTTTAATTGTATAAATGTTAACCATGAGTAATTTTTGCATGTGATCATTGTTTTTGTTTCAATTCTTTTCTCTGTCCCTCACCAACACTGATATAGAAGGAAAATAAAATATACACATTTGTAATATTCTTATGCTCATCAATAGATTAGTGAGATAAGACTCCAATAATTCTAGGACTTAATAAAATATCTAAAACATTGTTGAATTATCCCCATTGATTATCACTGCATTGGAAATGTCAAGATATGGATTTGTTCCGTCATAATAAATGCCTCAGTTGTTGTAAAGATTTTTTTTATTTTATTTAGTACAGTATTTCCTTTTGACTGCCTTTGTCATATGCAAGGTGAGCATTGGATGTTCACCTGGGAAACAATCTAATAAAAAATGACTTCAGACTTGTGCAGATTCCCCTACAGGAAATTGTGCATCTGCACAATTCTCTTCCTATTATCTTGCTTTTGACTTTCTAGTCATGTCAAAAAGGAAAGCAGTGTGTTTCAGATGTGGTTTTAAAATACAACCACAGTTGAGCCTCCAATTAATTCAAAAGTAGCAGTTTAGTTACATCAACATATCAGAGATTTGTGGAAGAAAATATAATAGTTTTGAGCAAAATCATGCAGTTTAAAAGACAGTTGTTCCTAATACTGACCAAAGGTATGTAAACTTCTAAACTGAAAGAAAATTACAAAATAAAAATGGTTTTGATAACTAACCTAAAACAAGAAATGTTTAATCTGATTTAAGTTCAGACAGTGAGGAAAGAAATGTTCTTTTGTCTTTTTATATCGTGACAAGAGTTAGTAACTAGAATGTAAAGTAACAAATGGGGCGTGAAGGAAATGTATTTTAATATCAAGTCCTGCTTCACTGAGAAAATTCCCAAGACTAAAGGAATATATGATATGGCTTGAAGGAAGTGACCTCAATATGATCATTGTCATGGGGAAAATCCCGAACGCCAAAGAGACTAGATTTAGTGAGAAAGGAAAGCTTTACATGTCACAAGGAAGTTCGTGCATTTTTGTCCTTTTGTTTTTCTATATTTCTGTGGATCTTTTTTTCTGTAAAGATTTTATGATGTGGTTTCAGATTAGGCCTGCAATCTGAAGAAAGATGGAAAAATCTATGACAGGGAATAAAATAAGCAAATGATATTAAATAACACGCTTTTAACCTTTACTATATTTCAAAGTGCGTTTTAATGATGCTATTTAATTTGTTCCTATATTTTTAATCAAAACAATGGATATGCCACCAATCAAAACAATTGCTATAGAACATATTTTTGCTGAAACTGTTCAAGAGAAGTTAAATAAATGCTATTTATGTAGTCAGCATTTTGTAGATAGTGTCTGACTCTGGCTCTACATCTTCCACAGACTAAACTCAACTCTTGATCAATCAATCAATCAATCAATCAATCAATCAATCAATCAATCAATCAATCAATCAATCAATCAATCAATCAATCAATCAATCAATCAATCAATCAATCAATCAATCAATCAATCAATCAACCAATCAATCAATCTGTCATGAGTTGAAGGAAGATAATCAAACCGGAAAATGAAAGATACTTATTTTTTGCATGATGATTGCTGTTATTGCTTCAATTCTTTTTTCTGCCCCTCTCCCCATCAATGCTGATATCGGGGGAAATTATAGCATAAAATTATGCAATGTGTTTATGCTCATTGATAAATTAGTGGGATCAGCCTCCGCTGGTTCTAGAAATAGAAATATTAAAATATCTAAAATATTGTCATATTCTCCCTATATAGAAACACACAGAGAAAGCGTTTTAAGGAGGTTTATCACATAGATGTATTTTACATTGATGCTTGTCAGAGAGTAAATACAATCCAGATAGCTATAAGAAGAAAAAAAATCATTTCCAGAGATATTCCTTTCCATTGGGTTTTGTTGGGAAAAAATTAGGTTGAATTTAAACTGAACATTCATCAAGAAATGCAAAATAATTTATTTCTTAAAATTTTTTGTGATTAGGGACAAAGTGTGCGAGATGCAGAGACAGAAGCATATTTATTTCACACCAAAATGAGAGAAACTCTGAGACATTAGTTTCTTAATTGTATAAAAGGTGAACAAGAAGTAATTTTACATGTGATCATCCTTGATTCTTCCTTCACACACTGATATAAAGGAAAAATATAGATTAATATCCTTATGCTCATCCTAGCGATGATTAGTGGGTTTATCCTCCATTGGTTCTAGAAGCAACACTAATATAATCATTTATTACATTATTATATTGTCCCTAACATTTCCACAAAGAACCACACAGAAAAACATCAGATGAAGTTGGATGGTAAGAGTTTTTCACAAAGATGTATTTTTACATTTATAAGAGTGCAAACAGTGAATACAAATGAAGCAACTCTAATAAAATATTAGGCATTATGATGTTATAACATTCTTCTTAATATTTCCACAAAGATGATAGAATCAAAGAACAGAGAGAAATGTATTTTATGTTCGATGTTAGAAGAGTTTATTACAATTATATATTTTTACATTGATTGTAAGATAACATACATATGGAAATACAATAAACAATCACATTTCCACTTATTTGCCTTTATATTGGCTTTTGTTGAAGAAGAAAAAACTTTGAATCTAAATAAAAATCATCAGGAAATGCAACACAAATAAGATTTTTTTCCTTTTTAATTGTTTTGTGTCTAGGGACAAACTGTGCGAGCTGCACACACAAAAGCTAACTGAGTGAAACACATCCGATCATTGAAGTAAAAATTGCTTCCATAGTTGGTGTGCACACAGTGTTCATTTCCATTAGCATTGTCAGGCTGTCCAGAAGTCCAAAGGGAAAATGTGTATTTAGACCCATCGGACCAAATCCATCCTCCTTCCTTGTGCATATCAGTGAGTCCAATCCAGGTCCATGACTGAGTGGGATCAAAGTTCTTGATCAGAAAATTGACAAAATTGAGTTCCTCAAGACTGTGGATGGAAACCAGGTTGGCTCCCTCTGACACACACTGGAGCTCTGCTTCTCCCCAGGTCACTCTTGAGCCAAAGTACTTGTAGCAGCGACCCTGAAAGCTGAACCAGAACAAGGGACAGCCGCCACGCAGCAGCTTCAGTTCCTGTCCATCTGAAGGAGGCTCAGCAGCCAGAGCCAGACCAACCAGGAAGAGGAACCACATCATCTTGGAGCTCGATGCCTCTGATGTGGATTGATCTGAAGTTCTTGCTGAAGTTTTTCTGCAGTGATGGATGTTGGAGAGAATCCTGGAGAGGCAAAAGGCAGACTGCTTCCTTTTATAACACCAAGAGAGGGCGTCTGCAGTGTTGTTACATAATGATTAAAGGTTAATGCACCTATTAACACGCCCAGATGCATTCAGCACCACATCTATTTGGACATATTTTTAAAAGTAACAGTTCACCTGAAAATATGTTTAAATATGTGTTATAAATGTTGGGTTAACATTTTGGCTGTAAAATTTCTGATTTGTTGATTAAAATAAATAGGAAATGCTTTATATTAATTAAGAAAAATCAAAGCTCTCTCCATTTTCTTTATCAGGTTGTTATCATTCTGTACAAATTGACATTAGTTTGGAACAATGTGGTGACATTTTCCTCAGAGACAAACTAACCATTAGCCAATAAAAAGTAACACAAACATACACAGATCATAATTCTGTGTATGTTGACAAAATTATCAGTGACATTAATTTTGCAAAGAAAAAGTACAGATGTACCAGACAGTTGTTGCTCAATCATGATTTCTTTGTTCTGCTCCTGTAAATGTTGTTGATTTACCAGGCAGCTTTATCTGTTCTGGTTTTAACGAGGAGGCAAAAGTTCAAAGAGAAAAGGTTGAGCCACATCAGACATGATAATTATGATTTTGTGTTTTTATTGCAGCCTGTGAGACGCACAGCTTTATGCACTGGGAGCATGTTGATGGTGGAACGGTGAGGTTGAAGGTCAACCTGGGAGCTTGACTGGAAAGACTTGTTATCTTATTGGACAACAAATAACTTTATTTACTGAATAAGATCAATCAGTTCAACAATTAAAACTACTCTGTGTCTGTATGTATTTAATGACCAAATTAAAATGACAAATCTCTCTATAAAGATTTATTAAACAAGTACTTAATAAAAAAGAACAAAAAAATCTAAGAAAATATTATAGAAAACAAATAACATCCTCCAATGCTATGAAGACCTATTGGGTGTTTTAATATTAAAAGGTTAATATTAAGAGGTCAATATAATCCAAAGGAAAGATGTAACCCAACCCTGTACACTCTACCTTCCAAGGTACCTGGGATTTTGTTTTGTTTTTTCTGCTCCATCCTCGTGATCCTTGTTCTTCTCTTCTGTGTCCTTCTCCAGTTCCTCAGAAATCGTCTCTTCTTCATTCTCTTCACTCTGACTGGTATCATCCTGTTCCTCTTTTACAACTCACCCACCTTGTCTGTCCCTTAACAACACCAAGGATAAACTTTATAGCACTATTTTTGGTAGCAGATTAATATTACGCCATATGAAGCTATGGCGTAATATTGCTGATAAGCTGCCTTTGATATATGTGACTTTAACATATCCAACACACAAACACACACAATGCCAAGCCTGGACAGAGATGATAGAGACACACAGTTTTCACCAACTTGCTGTAGTGTTGCTGCTTGGTCCCAGTCTGACACTGACCCAGTTTGATATTTTATTGCCAAATCTGCTGGGATGGTGACTGCAAAGACAGCAGTGAATTTTGTTGATGGGGTTCAAGAGAAAAAAATCTGGAGATTCTGCAAATCTCCTGTCCTGATTTTAGTACCAAATAAAGTACCAATCATACTCTGTGTGCTAAGTACAGATGTACTCTTTATATTTGTTTTTAGTATAAAATAACTTACGTAACCTAAAACGTTTTGCAAATATTTTATTCTTCTTAAGTGAATTTAGTTTGATGAATTAAAACTCAAATGATTTTAGATGTTATTCTCATTCCTAATTAAACCTTTGAAACATGTCATCTCACCTCTATTATGATCTTCTGAATTATGCCTCACTTTACAAAAAGATGAAAATAATGAAACCATTGAAATAACACATTGAACATTTTTTTATTTTACAATAGGTTTTACAAATTAAAATCTTTTCTTCCAGATAAAGAGAACAATCTTTTTTAGCCCAACTTATCAACTTTTGTTTCGAAAATCAAGACTTTCATAAAATATCTTACAAAATCAGAGGATATAAAGACATGTTCCAGGCAACCAGGTTTTATAATCTTAAAAGCATATTGTTAGCTATTACCAATCTAGCGAGCTTTACAAACAGAGGAGTATTGATCTCTGCACACTTTATCGTTCCATCCCTTGGATGGGCCATAGTTGGTGTGCACACATGGTTCAGATCCTCCGGAGTTGTTTGGTTCTCCTGCATTCCACAGTTTGAAGTTCAGTCTGGACCCGTCAGACCAGAAATATGTTCCATCCTTCTCAGCATCAGACAGTCCGATCCAGTTGACTCCCTCGGCGTGATCAAAGTTTCTGATCAGCATTTTGACAAAGTTCTCTTCTTCCAGGCTGTGGATGGACACCAGGTTGGCTCCTTGGTCCACGCAGTGCTGCTCTGCATCACCCCAGGTCATCAAGGTGGCGACGTACTTGTAGCAGCGCTCATTGAAGCTGTACCAGAACGGGGGACAGCCGCCCCGCTGGAGCTTCATCTCCTGTCTGTCTGACGGAACCACAGCAGCCAGAGAGAGACCAAACAAGAAGAACAGCAATATCATCTTGGAGTCTGATGGTTTTGATTCTGAGAGGTTTCAGAGTTTATCTGCAGGGATGAATGCTGAAGAGAGTTCTGGAGAGACAGGAGTCCACCTGTTCTCTTTTATATTCTTCAGAAAGGGCGTTTATTGTGTTTCTGTTAATGAGCTACTTTAGTGTTTCATTTGATTTCCCATAAAAGTTCCTCCCAGGAACTCTTTATCTGTTTCCTTAACCCAGAATGATAATCAATGGATTTATTCAGTTTATTTGCATAGTACATTCAAGCAACAACGCAGTTCAAAGTGTTTTACGACATAAAAACACAATACAAGGTCACCAATTTCAAAATTATGTAAGAAACATTTATGTAATGCAAATAAAGTTGCATAATGTAACAACCATTGCATAAATGTTTATGGTTGTGTAACTATATTACACAAACAGATGTTAATCAGTTTGTGACAAAACAATGCTTTAACAGAAGTTTAATTTCATTTTCTTATAATTGGATCAGTTATATCTCTTTTTGGGAACATCACCCAGACTTATCTGTGTCACATGGATCTGTGTCACTGAGACTGAAGACTTTAAGTTAAAGATAAACACAGGCTGTGCTCAGAGTGTTAAAGGCTCGTTTCTTCTGTATCCCTCATACCATTTAGTAAGTCCATTAATATTCTGAGCACAAACACTCATAATTACACAGCACCCATTTATGAGTCCAAAAGAGACATCTACGACTCACCTGTAATGTCTCGTAACCTAAACTTTATTAATTTTCACTGTAATTTTGAACGATGAAGCTGCATTTTAGAAAAAAAAGACTTCAGCTGCCTGAAGTTTGAAGAAGACAAGGAGACGAGTTGCTTTGTGATTCACTTCTTTTCCATTTTACAACTGATAAATAACATACCAAACATAGGCATATTTACACATAAACAATATTACAATTGTACAAAGCCTTTTCTTTGAACTCGTACATTGTGAATTTTGTGTATTTTTTATTTTTTTATCATGCAAACAAGTTTTGAACAACAGCTTTAAAAAAAAAACAGAACTGTACACTTCTATAACAGCGGCTAATAAAACACTGAATACAGCCTCCTGTTGTATTGTCGTCCGTTCAACGTTTGACAGACTTATTGCACTTCTGCTGCCCTCTAGTGGCTACATTACAGCACAAAACGTATTTGACCCCGGATGCTTTGCAGCTTTAACCCTCACACCTGCTCTCCTCAACAAAACCTGTGGATGGCACAAAAACCAAAGACGTTTAGTCACCATAAATAAACACAGGATTTTTAATAAATAACCAACTTAACTTCTTTACACATGATCAGTGAAGGGTGTCTGTATCTACATCATGCACAGCTAACCAAAAAGAAAACATTTCAGTGTCACTTTGAACTCAAACAGATGTGTGCTCTGATTCATAAACCTTAGCAACTATTTACTGGGAGAGCGTTTTTTTACAACAAAGCTGTCATATTGTTAAAGATTTAATTGTGATTATCATATTAAAAAAATTGACATCTGAAATTGATTTATCTCAGTAGACTAAGAGGTTGCTGGTACGCTGTTTAACAGGTTTCAGACTAAGACTGTAACATTTTTTTGCTCTGATCCCAACCAACTTCTAAGAGAACAAATACAAACCAGCAGATTTACCGGCACAGTTTCCATTTCCAAAAGCAAAACGTCTTAAACAATAAACACTTGAACATCTGTCACTTTTATTGGCTCTGATTTTGTTAAGATAAAGCGTTTAAAGTTCTCAACAATACTTCCAAATTAATCCAAATCATAATGGCGACAGTCAAGACTGAGAACTTTTCATTTTGAAGTATTTCTTCACACCGTGAACATATTTGGCACAGTTTGGGTAAATGTCTCCGATTGATAGAACAACCATAAAAAATAAAAATAAAAAAAAGCTCTTTCTCTGAAATCTAAATGAACACTTGTAAGAGAATCTTCACAGTATTGCACTTTATCCCTAATTTAAACCTTATAAAAGTCCAAAAAAGGCAGCAAATGCTTTTCTGAGTTAACATTTAGAATATCACAGCTGCACTGTTGCAAGGAAGTGACAAAAAGGAATTGAGGGGGGACCAAAAGGCATTTACAGAAATGTAATAAAATAACCAATGAGCAACAAGAAGGATTTGTTGATTTGTAAAAGCATCGGTATATCAGACAATAGCTTTCTGCTTTCGTGCTGCATTTGTGTGCGGGCATAAAATAGAAGATTTTATTATCCAGTCAGGCTTTCCCCCACAGTGACTTGAAAAAAAAAAAATCTCAAAGCCATTTCCTTTGGTTCCATTAATCCGTCAGTATCCTGAATTAGTTCTCACAGTATAAATGAGGTTGTTTCGAAACGAAACATTATTCAGTCAGTAGGTATTAATTATCCGTCTTCTTACTATGAAAGTGAATCAGTGGAACAAAACTGTTCTGTTGTGCTGCACTTCGAATAAAAGACATCGACACAATAAACCTTAAAGATATATGCATATAAATTAAAAATAAAAGAAACATTGAGCTCTGCCAGGACCGTTTCCACAGAGACCAGGTTCAATAGCACATCTCGACAGAAAGCGTCTCTGCAAGGAGTCGGGTTGGCTTCACGTGATCCAAGGAGCGGACGTCATGCTTGTAACGGGGCAAACGAAACAGGAGAGCTGCAACGCTCAACAGAAACGCTTGGCACTGAAAACTGTCAGATCCACGGTATGTACAAAGCTAACTAATCATTTCTATTCACAATAAAACATCATCGAGATGAGAATACGAAGGTTGTTTCAGGCTTTCAAACCCAGAACTAGTTGGTTTAAGTTATTCCTGCACAATAACTAAAAAGGCTGCACAACTAAATAGCATGTCTATGAAAATAAGTGCGAGCTACGCAATAGAAATCATATTGGACAGTCTATGATGCACGTTCAGCTTTTTTTTGCTTAAAAATAAAAAAAGAGAAGAAAATCTTAACGCTTTTGGGTTTTAAATGAAGACGCGGTTATCAAGTCTTTGTTGATGTTCTATGGGAGCAGCGAGATTTACAAAAATAAAGGAATATTCCACCTGATGAACAGGAAAATAACCAATAACTGATGACGAGAACAAAACAAAGGCCCAATCAGCCCAGCAGGTACTGTACAAACTAATCACAGCCTCGTTGACGCTTCGCTCAGTTTCTCCGTCTTCCTGCACCGATTCGGTTTCTGTAGAAGGTTCCCCGGGAGTGTGTGGAGGTTAAAAACCCCTTACAAGCAAATGCTGAGTGTACGAAAGCCTTTTCAGAGTGGACCGTGTTGGCGACAGACCGGTGTCCGTCTCACAGCACTGCTGGTTGTGTGATCTTGCCGCAGTGTACGTGTGACAGTTTGCTGTACAAAGCGTCCCCATTGTCACACAGGCTGGCGCTCCCGGCTTATGCTTAAGCGCGCGGCTCCAGCTTGTGCGACAGTTCAAAGAGTGTCTGTTGATTGTCGATGATGTGCAGGTGGTGAACGCTCGCCCTCACCTCCACGCTGTCCACGCCGATAACCTCATTGCCTAGGAGACAGACGGGAGAACATGGGCTGAAGTCAAACACGAGTCTTTCCTGGAAGGCTTCCCACTGTGAAGCCCAACCGACATGTATAAAAATAAATAAATCGAAAACAAAAAGCCCGTGTAGAGACTGTTGCTTGGTAACTGCAAGAGAAAACCAGATCAGCTGACCCAGTGCAGATGCAATGCTCTAACTGAGCTGCAGGTGGCAGCAGAACCCTTCCAATAATTAGTAGTAAACGTCAGAACAACACAAATTTAGACATTGCATTTCTCAAATTGATTTTACATTGTCCTAAATAATTAGTATAAAAATGCAGATGATTTTTCATTCTTTGTTTTCTTCTGAATGAATTTAAATATTTACTGTTTCATATTGTATGTTTAACTGGTCTGTTCAGAGATGTATTCATGTTCAACATAATCCATTAAATCACACTGTAACACCATCTCTCCCTGTTGACTTTACATGCAAGTGTGCAACATTAAAAAAGGTTATTTTGAGTGCTCAAGGAAGCATTTTATGAATATGAGCCAAAGGAAACATTTAGTTCCTGAAGCAGCTGTCACCGGGGAAAAACAAACATGACTTTGACTCATTGCACTTTCTGATTTAAAAGTGCTGCATGCTTGGATGAAACCTGCTTCTTAAGAAGTGTTTGTTTTCTTCCTTTGTTGGACGTAGATCCGCATACCAGATGCTGACTTGGCTCTTCCTCTGCCCAACAACATCTGAGTACAGATGTCTGTTCCAGATCTGTTCTTTTTGTTGGTTCTCCAGACACTTCAAATTTTGTAGATAAGAAACCAAAATGTTCTATTTTCTCTCTGCATGATTCCACTTGAATCCAAAATCCCAGTTAACTCTGTTTTATTTTTCTTTTCTATTTCCTATATTTATCTTGCCATTAAAACAAATATCCATAAATGCCGATACACACCTGGCTGGTCACTTTGGCAGTGGCGAATCATCCTCACTGTGTCTGCTATCATGTGCTGTTGAAATGAGAGAGCATGTGTTCAAACACTCAAGCTTCATTATTAGCTGTGGAAAAACAGAAGATCTTTCAAGGAAAATCCAACATTTCATTCATATCAAAGGAGGATTTAGTTGAAAATGTTTTCTGCAGAAAAACAATCTCCAGGACTTTCAATAAATAATCTGCTGTGATGTATGATTTAAATGTTTTAATCTGCAAAAACGTTAAACTTCACTCACCAGTTTCTCAAAGTTAACCAGGTTGTCATGAAAGGTCTTATTTCCTTCATGGATGAAAGTGATATCTAAAAGCAGTGGAGAGGCATATTAAAGTTTAATTCAAAGTTGTTTTTAAAAATCTATATTTATGTGTGAGTGAAGGATTTAGAGGATACCTTTTAGAAGAAGAGGCATGAAAGGGATCTTAGGAGGTTTCATCCTTTTGAAGGCTTCTCTATAAGCTTTGTGGTTCAGAGATGGATCCTGTGAAGAGCCAGGGGAAGAGAGAAACGCTTTAGAAGGCTTGAAGAGAAGGGGAGAAATTTAGGGATTTGTCTATCAAGAAAG